TATTATTATATATATATATATATATATATATATATATATATATAAACAATTTAATAAAAAAAATATTATATTTTAATGCATCATTACACGCTTTATATATATATAATATTATGAGTTGCAATTATTATATGAAAATTGCATAAATGCATATATTGTAATGAATCGCAAATTTAAGATAAAATTCTGACAAAAATTGAGTGATATATTGATAATTGAATATTAAATCCAACAAATTTTTTTATTGATTTGAATATTAAATATTTGATCAGAATATCATGATAATAGAAAAGATAGAAAATAGAAATTATTCGATTATAAAAAATACTAGAAAATATTTTTTAATATAATTCACAATGTTGCATATGTAATTATAAATATTTTATATGATTTATAACAAAATATTACTATAAAAATGAAGAGCAACGTATGTTTCATATTTTTTTATACAAAATGGCAGATTTTTCATTTAATTATAAAAGTTTAATTTTTATGTGGTTATTATATTTAAAAATATATTTTATTAATACAATAGAGAATAAAAAAAAATTTATATGTAAAATTCAGTAAGAAATCTAAGATCACGCATATCTTTATACGTAGAACTGTTATTTGCCAAAGGTGTTCAAACATAAAGATGGAAATGATTTAATCCTTCATTATTTGTATAAAAATACCTTTAATTATATCTTGAAGTATATAAAAATATTAATTTTAAAATTGAATATTTTTAAATTACATTTTTATATATTTTATACATAAAAATAAAAAATACGTGTATATAACATTATATAATTTTCATCGAAAGATTAAAAAAAAATTATCTTCAATTGTAATTAAAAATATTATATCATATTATTTTTATTGATTTTTCATTTTATTTTAATCTATTTGATAATTCTGTTTTTATTAAGATGGAAGTTGTTTGTTTTAATGTAATAGGAATGAAATTTGAATTTAATATTACATTATTTAAAATTCCAAAATAGTTGCTGTGTTTTCGATTTGATTTGTGTAAATGAAAACATAATATATACAAGAATATAAAATATTTTAATTAATTCCAATTATATTCCCTGCAACATAAGTCACTTACAAAAGTTGTAAATAATTGTAAAGTTAATTTTTATAGTTAAAATAGAATAATTGATTTTAAACAAAAGATATTACAGATAAATATAATTAATACTGAATAATTTAAAAAAAAATTTATTATGAGAAATCTATGTGTTATAAAATATTTAAAAAAGAAATTGAAATTAATATAGATATGTATAAATATTAAATTTCAAAAGCATATCTATCTTTTAAATATTTAATTTTGTAAATAGCAATTTTATTAAATTGAAAAACATTAGTAATCTCTTATATTATTGTATTGTATTATTACAAGCCATTCATTATATTGATAATTATTTCAAATATTATATAATGTTATCAATTCTAGTTCTATGTTATTTATTTATATACTATAAACAAATTATATATAATATGATATATATTTTTTGTTCTATTATTTAATTATGAAGCAAATATTAATTGATAAATTAAATAAAAAGCAGGGATGCGTGTAAAAAGTGCTGTTTTAAATTTAATTCTTAAAAGTCATGAGAAAAATATTTTTTGAAGGCATGATTTAATATATTAATGTAGATTGAAAGTAATTGCTAATAAGATACTCGGTATCATATATTATTATATATTAAAATTTGTAATACAATTATAACAGTAATATATTAATAATGTGGAACATAAATATATGATTTTATAATAATATTGAATTTTAAATATAAATAATTTATAAAAATTTATTTCATTTTAAAATTTTATAAAAAAATTGCCGAATATCTTATAAAATTAATTGATAAGATAGGATATACCTAACAATTTATAAAATTAAAATCAATAAGATTGATAATTTTAAACTTCAATAAAAATATAAGTGATAAAAATGAAGATGAAAAATATGATAAAGTTAATTGGTGAATATAATAAATAATCAACTAAAAAATTATTACAAATATTATTAAAAAAAATTATTTTTCTATATGTATAATTTCTATAATGTAACATTTTCAACTATTTTATTTTTATATATGTTCATAATGAAATGAAACTCGCGAAACAAAAATACTGTAGAAATCTAATTTCGAAAAAATAAGAATATCAAATGCTCATGACATCATTCATCTGAATTACATTTATTTTCATTTATATAAAATTTTTTGTAATGGCAGTTTGCAGCAATAGATATTTATGGAAATGGAATGTATTTTATAAAACGAAATTATGATACTATATTGATATATTGGTAAAAATTTTGAACACATGTGACTACAGTACTTTTTGAATGAATTTCAAAAAGAATTTTGTAAATAGTTGATGGAAAGGAGGATACTTGGGGACCTGAGTCGATGCAATGTCCATTCGATTTCATAGTCACATCATAAAAAAATATAAAAAGAAAAGTAACTCATTTATTCTTTAAATTTTTGTTTTTTCTATTATCAATTTATATGTATTGATTATTGAAAATAAATAATAATATAATAAAATAAATAAAAAAAATTGAAATATAAAAATACGAAAATATTTATATATCAATAATAATATAATGAGTATATAAATAAATGAACTAAAATATTAAATATAAATGAGTTATTTTTTAATAAAAAATTTATGATGTAACGTGAATATGGAATGTGATAACGTGTCATAGAGACCAGCGATGACTGCCGATTTTAATGTAAAATTATTAACATATAACATGTGTATCATATTGACAAATAGTAATTATGTATTCATTGTAAGTATATGAATGAGTGGTTCTCCATAAAAACGTGATCTTAGATTTCATAATTTAAGCAATCTAATAAATTTAAATAATATATTAATTTATTTTAATTAATGATCATTAAATAAATAATATTTATTTTAATATATATTTAAATTATGGGAAAAAATTATGAAAAATATCAGAAATATGTTTTAAAATTATATAAATCATGAAAAAAATTATTTAGATCATTTTTATAAATTTTGTATAATGAAATACATACGTTGTTCGTTTTAAACAAAATTTGATAATATAAAATATAAACTTGATTATGGAATATGAGTGTATTTGCAATTAAATACGTTAAAAGTTTCACTAGAAAGCGATTAATAAATTTATAATAAATTGATCTTTAATCAATGAATATTTTATTTCACATTAAATTATATATACACATAAATTATACAAATAATTATTCTTTTTTTTAATTTTTCATTTTCGATTTGAAGTATGATTTTTAATTTAAAATGAAGAATTATAGAAAATCTTATAAAAAAACGTATTAACAAAGAATATTC